TGCTTGGCAGTGCTCTCTTCCCAGTCCTGCCCCTGATGGCCGATTTAGCTCGCTGGATGTGTGTGTGTCGGTAACAATTTGCCATTGAACGGTTTGTTTGTTTCAAGCAAACTTGAAACCGTCGCCTTTAGCCGTGGCCGTCCGCTGCTGCACGACACGTGCCAGTAGCACTTCAGTGCAGAAACGTGCAGTTACTGCGCCTTCTGCTGGTGCAGCACAGGTTCTGTGGTTGTGGGGCGCGCCAGGAAGCTCTCCAGGCTGTTTTGTTTGTTGAGACGTGCGGTCGAAGGCGTGGAATTGTGTTCGTACCTCTCGGCCTGTTTGGCTCGGCTTCCAGGAGGTCGCTTCCGGTGTCTGCGTTGCTTTCTCCCTTTCTGGCCAGTGCTTCTTTCGCTCAGCTCCCTCTGCATTTTTACAACACCTGAAGGAAGTGGGCCAAGGTTCTCTTTTATGCCAGATTGCCTGCCTGGGATGAGTCGCTGCGGTTGCTCGCTGCCAGACAGTTCCGAAAGAAGGGACGGTCCAGTTCATAACAGCATGAAGTCGCTGTTGGGCCACCAAAAAATCGGTGGTGCACGTGTTCAGTTTGCTTGATTGAAGTTAAATTTGACTTTTACAGGAATTGCTGAAGATGCCAACAAAAGCGAAAGGCGAGACGGTAAGCAATTTGGTTCGATCTTGTCTGCTAACCGGTCTGCCTCGCTTTCTCTTTGGGGTGGCGGGGTGGGGATTGCAAAACATTGTTGAAAAAGGCTGTGTTGCAGTTGAGGGAGTTCATCGTTGTCGGGCGCAAAGTGCCATCTGAAAAGGAGCCCGTGACGCCAATATACAAAATGCAGATATTTGCAAGCAACCACGTGATCGCGAAATCACGCTTCTGGTACTTCACCAGCATGTTACGACGTCTGAAGAAGGCGCACGGGGAGATTCTGCAGTGCAAAGAAGTAAGTGTCTCGTCATTATTTGAGGGGAAGGGATGAGAAATGGTCGGAGGGGGGGGGGGAAAGAAAGGAGTGTCCGGGAACCTGCATGGCGCACTCTTGCACCACAAATTGGCATTTTTCTGCGGTAAATTGCATTCGTTGGTTTTGTTTCGATGTTTGTATGTGCAGAATTTTCGTTGCGATATCTTATCTTTGCGTTTATGGCTCTGCGTATATATATATGTGTGTGTGTGTGTGTGTGTGTGTGTGTGCGTGCGTATTGTGCGTGTATGTATGTATTTGTGTGAAATTTATCCATTTTGGTTGTTTGTGCAGCGAGTTACATTTATGTGCAAGTGAATTGCTAAAATAGATAAGAGAATGTAAACTATGCCTTTGTCAACTGTGGAAATTCCTTCGGTATCGTCTACTGTGAGTTCATGTGAGAAAGGAGTTGGTGGCAGCTGCACAGGAATTGTTAAGAAGGCGCATGCAATATAACACCGGAATTCATGCTTTGACCGAGATGATGTAAAGCGAAGAGGTTTTTCTACCTTTTTTTCACATCTGCGGGCAGTGGACGCCAAAATACAGAAAATTTGTCCCGAACTTATGGTACATTGTATTTTTTTTTGAAATCAGATTCTCCTCACTTCAAAACACATCACTTCTCTACTTTGTCTCCCACTGTTTTTTGTGCATTTTGTGCTATGTAATAGCAGTACAAAACGCATATTGTAACGGGGTTGTCTGTGTGTGTATGCGTGTGTGTCTGTCCGCAGTAACTTGTCCGCAACTTTCAACTAGGGAACCACAAAAGCTAGGAAACTGAAAATTTAGGGAAGGTTCCCGACCCACGTGTGACTCCGCAAGTTTAAATTCAGCCTCCCCGTACCCGCGGGTAACACGTACAGCCTCGTAAAAGTTTTGGCGGATGAAATTATTATCACGAAAACCGCGGAAGCTAGAAAGCTGAAATTTTTGTGGACATGTTCTCTGCCCACATGCGATCGCGAAAATTTAAATTCAGTCTTCTCGTGCCCGCCGGTAACACGTACGACTCCGTGAAAATTTTGGCGGATAGAATATTACTTCTGGAACCACAAAAATTGGGGATCTGAAATTTTAGGGCGATGTCCCCTAACAAATTTGGATTCAGCCTTCATGCACGTCTGGGTACCACGTATGGCCCCGTGAAAGTTTTAGTAGGGAAATTATTATCTCGTGATTTGCAAAAGCTAGAAAGCTGAAATTTTGGTGCGACATCCCCTACCCATGTACAATCTCGCAAATTTTCGACGTCTCCGTGAAAGTTTTGGCCAGAAAAGCCATTATCTTGGGAGCCAGAAGAGTTAGGAGGCTGAAAATGTCAGGAGAATGCTTCTTGCTTAAGCAGGGGCTTCACAAACTCGAATTCATTCCTTATGCTGAGCTCTCACGTACGATCGCGTGGAAATTTTGTCTGAAAGATCATTCGAAAGCCAGAAAATTAGGAGATTGAAATTTTGGAAGGATATTCACCTGTCGAGGTTTCAGATTTAGCCTTCACGTACCGATGCGCGAGACTTTTAGCTATTTTTTTTTAACATTTCAACTATTTTCGCCAGAGATCAAGTGCAAAGCAGTGAATATCATTAGCAGGCAATCGGTCGGTGGGTGAAATTGCACAAAACGCGTGGTCGCACTGGCTCTTCTAGTGGGCGCTGCTGTTTATTGTCTTAAATCATTGCTGTCGAGTTGGTCCTCCTACTTACGGAGTTGATGCGCTCTCACTGATCTGTTGCCAGCCAGCTTTGGCATTCGTTGGCGTTGTGGACCCGTTTCTGAGCTTGACTTGAATTTATTCTGTGTTCTTTTTTTTTTCAGCTGTTGATCGCGTTGCTTATCTTGCACTTCTTTATCGCGTAAATATCTTGATGATTTTTTAGTTGATCAAAATTTTGGTTGTTCGCAGTCCTTCAGTGTTATACTCAAATTCTTGCAGATTTTTGAAAAGAAGCCAGGAACGGTCAAAAATTATGGTATCTGGCTGC